TTTTTTTAACACAGAAGAAACATTATTTTAATTCTTCTAACTAAAAATATTAGTCAAAATAGAAAACCACAGCAACGAATGCACGAACATAGTGAAAGAACTCACTACAGAGCAGAACAATCATATCTGAAAAGGCAAAACATTATCTTTTAGCTATGCTCACAGAACAAAAATAACATGTTTGAATATCACTGTGTAGTTGGATGCTGCCCCAGAAATGAGACTCTCTTAAGCACTTGATCTTAGCAAGAAAGGAATGTCTCCTCTGTGGTACCTTCACAGAAAGCAGTGGGCAGCCAAGGCTGCATCTGGGTGCCAGGCGTGCAGCGGGCACCTGTGCTGCTGGGAAACAACAAGGCTACTGCAGAGCAATGGATCTGTCCAGCTGCTCCACACTGCATGGCCAAGTCTACTCCATGCCTAGGAGCCACGAGGCTTTTCTTCTGCCCAGCCACAAAAACAACTTGCACAGCTCAGTCTCTTTCAGATGTTCAATCCCTCTTCAAAGAAGACTGAACTGAGTAAAGAAGGAGTGAATACCTAACAGACTTGCCTTCATTTTTGCGTATTTTTCACATTTTTCTTCAAGTCACTTAACAGTCTGTGAACATTATCTATTGCCTATCTAGCCATAGTTTCATACAGTTTTGCCATCTGCATCTGGGAAATGTGCACCCCTTTTGACTGTGTTAGATACCAAACTTCTCTCCACTTCCAAAAAGCCAAGATAGGTACACTTTTGAAGTATTTATCTGCAAAAAGTTTAAAGTTCAACCACTATTCATTGTCCAAACTTCTCACCATGGTTCCGATAGCCAAATCTATGTATCTGTCCACTGCTCACGTGAACCAGTGAAAAACAAGACTATCAGCTGCTTTTATAAATATCATGTATCTGCTCAAGATAATGCATGAATTAAGAAATGTGTTTACTTCTTTAAAGAATTAAGCAAGAATCATGCAATCATAGAATGATTAAGGTTGGAAAAGTCCTCTGACATGATGGAATCCAGCCTTTGGCCAAGGAACAGAAAGCAACATGCTTCCCTGGCTGCATCCAAAGCGGTGTGGCCAGCAAGGCAAGGGAGGGGATTCTGCACCTCTGCTGAGATCTCACCTGCAGTGCTGTATCCACTCTGGGGTCCCAGCACAGGAAGGACATGGACCTGTTGCAGTGAGTCCAGAGAAGGGCCACCCAGCATGATTAGAGGAATTAGAACACCTCTCCCATGAGGGAAGACTGAGAATATGAGGGTTGTTCAGGTTGTAGAAGAGAAGGCTTCAGGGTAACTTAATTGTGACCTTACCTGAAGGGAACCTACAAGAAAGCTGGAGACTGTTTACTAGAGCATATAGGGATAGAACAAGGGGGAACGGCTTCAAACTGAAAGAGGGTAAGTTTAGATTAGTTATTAGTAAGAAATTCTTTACTCTGAGGGCGCCGAGGAACAGCAACACTTGCCCAGAGAAGCTGTGGATGCCCCATCCCTGGAAATGTTCAAGGCCAGGTTGGATAGGGTTTGGAGACCCCTGGCCTAGTGGAAGGTGTCCTTGCCTGTGGTGGGGGCTGTTGGAACTAGATTATCTTTTAACTCCCTTCTAACCAAAACCATTCCATGATTATGCCAAAATCAACATTTGGGTATCAAAGGATTCTTGTTTGTTTATAGGTAAGAGATTCATAATGCTTAAGTCACCTAAGTAATTATAGCTTATATAAAATGACTTATTTAAAAAAGAAATGAGGTTTCAAGAATAAGCTTATCTAATCACTCCCTTCCTTCCATGAGATACTTTTGTAAACTATTGTTGAACTGAACATGTAAAAACAGCATCTCTTGGGCCTCTTTAGGTCAAAGATAATCCCTTGAATTCCCCTTGCAACAACTAGGCAGCATGGTCACATCCAAATGTTATGCAGAGGCATAACCCCTACTCAGAGACATTAATTCAGATTAACCATAACTGCTTACCTTGCCAGGTAAGAGCTGAAAGTCCCAGTGATGGAGACAGAAGACACAATGAGCACTCACTGCTCCCCAGGCTGGAGAGTAAGGAGCAGAATAGCAGGGTGGGAATCTGCAGGATGATCAAGAACTTCACCAGCCACACAAGCCACAAGAGCCACAAAATCACGTGCAATCACTGAGAGGGATTACAAGGTTTGAATCTGGGGAGTGCAAGAGGTAGAAATATTGATGAGGGGGAAAGATGGCTGAGCAGATGAGCTGGTCAAATAGGAAAAAGAAAATTAAACCAGACTAAGCAGAACATAACATTTCCACCTCAGGGAATGCCATCCGGGCTTAGTCACCTCCTTTTTTAACCAGTATTTCTGAATTAGTAAGTAATTCCTGAAGATTAAACACCACATATCTGCTTTCAAGAGTGATTGTGCTACATCCCAAATCCTTTTTATTATGAAACCTCACCTGTCATTCACAGTGGATATTTAAACTGTGTCTTCTGTATGAAAATGCTGGTTTTAGTATGCACGTTAGTATACAGGCATTGTAATGGTGGGCCTGAAATCCTACTGGGCTTCATGCCTTAAAAACCTAAAGAAAAAAGACAGCAGTCTATGTCTCCAACAATTTGTAGTTCAAGTATAGCTATAATCACCAGTCAAATTTAAAATGATGGTCTTAAAAGCAAAATATGACAACACTGATAATTTAACTGTTGTCCTGCTTTGAGTGGTACTGCGTCAAAGAAAAAATTGTTTTAAGAAGGATTTGACAGTGAAATAAAAAAAATGCCTAGTGATTCCCCACAGTGAGGGACAACAGGGAGCTAGGAGGTGCTTTGTTTGCAGCATGAACAATGCAGACTGGCATCAGGGACTTTAGTACGGGAATTCACTTCAGGACTCAATGAGAAACTAATAGTGGGGTTGGGAATACATGGCTTTGTAGATGAGTACAACTGGATCACACCCATTCTTTTCAACAGAGAGGGGAAAATCAGCAATACACATGAAGTGGTCAAAGCAGTGGCACTGTCAAAGCAGAAATAAAGAAAAAATATCTTAGTTTTACTTTGAATAGATTTCACATATTTAAACCACTATAAGGCCGAAGATCACTTCAGGTGAGGAGGTAATGGATGAATTTCGTATATAGGGGTGAAAAAAAGAAATTTGTATCTTCAATGCAAGACTTTGACTTAACCAGAATATTAGCTTGTGGAAAAATCAAAGACAATGCCCCAGTTTATGGAGTTCAAAGACTGGAAATATAGGGGTTTTATTCCCATTGAATAAAGAGAGAGGGGAAAAGACCTTTAGGAAAAAGGTCATGACTCACCCAGTAGTTCAAGAGGCGAGTCCAAGTTTGGACTGAAGGTGATAACATCATTTTTGAGATGCAGCAATAAGGATGGTGGAGTAGCATTTGCATTCACGGACCAAAATAGAAGAACCAAAGAGAAAGAGAGTTCTCAAAAGCTCCCTTGCACTTTAGAAATTATTTTTTCCTTGCAAAAAGTAAGTTTGAGTCTTTATTTTTGAAGATAACTGTGTTTCCCATTGCCCTGGAGGAGATTCTGCCTCTCACAAAATTAAGCTCGACAGAAGTGACTTTGTGCTGGATATTCCACTCAGTTTGCTCCCACTGAGACTTGTGGTGAAATCTGTGACACTTCACAGCAGTACCCTGGCTCACTGATGCAAATTTGAGGGGAGACAGCCAGCTCCACCAGCTACAGGCAAACAGCAGCAGTACCACAGCCCATGGCTGAAATGAGTGTGATTCTGTTCATTCTTAGATTCATCTACTCAAACCTTGGGTTTCCTTCTAGAGCTTGATGGCATCCAATGTGACAGATACATGTCAAAAACACTTAGAACAGCTATAAGGTTACCAAATCCTGATATGATGTGTTACAAGGGAACACTGTAATTAAAAAGGGAAAAACAACTGGATCTTTTCAAAGAGCTCGTAATATTCAGAGCCAGGAAAACAGCTTTAGCTACCAAAGAAAGTATTTTCAAAGTATCTACTGCCCTCCTGTGTACAACTCAGTATTAAACCCAACAGCTGCAACCTATTTCAGAAACTGGAAAATAATGTGGTGCTGTGGTGTCCCAGATAATGTAGGAACAGTAGTAAAATCCTGGCACTAGGGAACAAAATAAGATAGTTTAGACCAGGGCTGTCATCGATGAGAAACTAATCACCGCCCCGGGCCTTCATCCATCTTTTATGAAGATCGTGCTGGATCCCTAGCACCAGAAGCCATGAGAGCTGCAGAATTCCTTCTCACAGGCAAAAGGCAAAGCATCCCCAAGCTGCCTCTGAACCCCACCACAATCACAGACTGTACACAAATGACTGACTGCTTTAACTAAAAGCAATTTCTTCAAATTAATGCTTCTTACAAATAATGTGAGTTTGGCACACTCCTGCTTAAATACTTACCTGTGCTGAGATAACTTCTTTTTTTTTTTTATTCTTTTGGAAAAGAAAAAGGATTTTAACTGTACTAAAATAACTTCAGTGTGAAAAATTAACTGTTTATTTCTGTTAAAACAATGCTATGCTGTGCAGAGATCTTACTGCACTAGTATACATCGCTTCTCAGCGTAATGAAAGTTTTACTCATCACTAAGTATTTCCTCCCTGCTTTTTATTTCAGCTCACCTTTTTCAGAAAAGCAGATCCTCAAGCAACTGTGGAGCAAAACTGAGAGCAAATTTGTAGCCACAGTGAAAGGTACACAATCTCTGTTTCCTATTGCAAGTCACATTTGCATGCTCTAAACATTACATTGAAAATGCCTCTTAAGATTATAGTAAGATTGATTTGAAAATAATACATGTTTGTCTTCTAGTCAAACCATGGCTTCTTAACCCAATTAATTTTTTTTTTTTTCAGGTAACTCAGTTACTATTTGCAAAAATCCAGTATAATCTTTATAAAAGTTAAGTAAAAAACATGGAGCTAAGTAGATGTGAGTAGCTAAATTTTCACAATATTTACATTGCACACTGAAGAAGAGCATTATTGCTGAAATAGATTCTTTATTTCCTGAAACATTCCAAAACAGCAGTATACACAGTTGTAATCAAATATTATGTCATATGCCATTATAAGAAAGCATTGATTAGTGCAACTGGATTTTGTAAAAGATCTATCAAAAAGATTTATTTGCATTAAAACTCATTTTCCATAAGCAACTGTTAATAAAACATTACCATTTTATTCTTTGTAATAAAGTACTGAAAATCAATAGTAGTTTTAGAGATCACTGTACCTTTGTAAGTGCAATGTGATTTATGCTGCCATTTTAAATACAAAACACTATGACAATAAATTAACAATTCAACAAATGGTGATAGACCAACAAAACCATGCTGACCCAGCTGGATGTCAATTTCCAGTGAATGCTAGCTTTTATTTGTGCTTCTGTAACATAAATATACTGCTTTGTATTGCCAATTGATAAGATTTTATAAGGTATGTTCCTAGCACTAAAAAAGTACATTACCCCAAAAATATTATTTATGGCACAGAAAAAGTTAAATTATCTCTCTGTAGTTCAAGGTTCAGGCAAGTTTAAATGAACTTAAGTATACAAAATAAAATGTACTGAAAACACTAGAAAAGATTTCAAGCACATACATAAGTACCCCAAAATTCAAAATAAAATGTGTGATGCCTTTACACTGAATAAATTATCTCAGAATTTCAGTATGGCAAAGCTGCCCAAAAACAAAATCTCCTAGTTCGTTCCAAGGAAATATTCTTGTATTTTGCACACATATAATACTTTCTTAAGTTCCAAATGCCAACACTGCCATTGTTAGTCTGATAACAATGCAGCTGTTAGGTAACTGATTAAGTGCAATATTTAGTATTTGATAAGATGTTCATTTTTTAAAAATGACATGGCATTGTAGATGGTTACACATCAAGATCCTGGGGAAAAATAATACTGTATGAGCCCCCTTTTCCAAATCGTTGTTACCCAGCCAGCTGGGTAAATGAAATCCACATTATGTGTTTTCCACTGGCGAGGGGCATCCTTCATCAATAGCAGCCGTCTCTCCAGTTCCCATCCCGTATCGTGCTCAGTGATGACAGGGGTTTTGGAGGCTGAAGAAAACTGTATTAACCAAATGACAAGGAGGTAAAAAAAAGGAAAAGGAGGTCATATTTCCTGTGAAAGATCAAGGTAAAAGACATCATTTACCTCTGCAGTGACAACAGCTTTGGGGCTTGCTTAGAGACATCCCTCTGTGCATTAATATGTAGCATTTCTGGCTACATATTAATGCACATATAAAGATCTGCGGTGAAATTAAGGCCACTTCCAATAAGAAGAGTATGACAGATTTGTAAAAGGAATTGAGTGAATAATTGTAGTCATGAATGAGATGCATCTAAATGGCAAGATTTGGCTTTTCAGGGCTAAAGATAGTAAAGACATAATTTTTGTCACTATGGGCAGCAGAAAGCTAATGGGAAACACTTTTCAAAATGTTATTGTGCTCAGCATGTGCACAAAAAACCATCAGTTCATAAAAATACCATGCAAGCAGCAAAGAATTTTATCAGCTGGAAAACTCCACCAACTTCTATTCCAGTCCCTCCTCACACCTGGGCTGCATCTCTCATTCCTCAACAAGGATTTCTATAACACTTTCTAACCATCTTCCAAACTCTCCGGGTACTACTGAGGCAACTATTTGAAGTAAAACTCAGAAAAGGAAAAACAACCATCTGACTTCATCTAACTACTGGTAACACAGCAGGCTCTGTATCTAATCTGCAACAACCATAATTTTGTTACACTCCAATTTACTGAAAAAATTATGTTTCAATTTGGTGACACTATTTCATACAAAAGCAGACCTCAAGCCTGGTTTTCACACTACCCTGGCTTTTGTTTTAAGTTACTGATGCCTCCTCTCCCTTCCAAATGCTTTTTGCTGTAAAAAGGCAGAGACATCTTGTCAGGCAGTTGGAAAGTCAGTCAACAGAGCAGCTTCAACTCTCTGTTGTTTTAGTAGCAAAAACACTGCACCTAAGTAAAAACAGTTGGTTAAAGTTAGATTCAGCCAAGCTGCTTTTATGCAGCTCCACTTTGGTAAACACCATTTATCTTTGATATAAATCCTGTTATTTGAGTCTAAGAACATAATCTGTCTCTGCTGCTTTCTGCAACTGCTGTTTTCATTCTCAGAGAAAAAAGAAGAAAGTAAGTTTAATAATCTTAAAAAAAACCAAACCAGAGAGGGAGAAAAAATAGCTAAATTGAAAATAATTGTAAGAATACTGCTATATATCCAGGGGTGAATCTCTGCTAGAGGGACAGAAAACGTGCCAGCAATGAAAACCATTTCAAACAAGCACAAGCTGTTGGTATGACATCATGCTGTTTGAGACAACAGAGTTTTGGAGCGGCATTTCTACTTTTCCATCCCCAGCTGAATAGCAGTAACTGGCTCCAGTACAAGGCAGCAAGAATAAGCAAGCCTTGGCTCCACAGGTATGCTTATACTCCTGCCACACTTGTGCCTGGTATCTGGCATGATCCAGACCCTGAGCTGCTGACTGATGTTCTGGCTTTGTGGGCACTGCAGGGCAGCCCAGCTGTCCCAGGCACCTCCCTGCTCCCCCTGCCCTAAGGGCAGCTGCCCACGCTGCCCTTCACACTGCATAAGGTTAAAACACAGAGAACTGGAAGTTGGGGTCTACAAGAAGCCCTGAGACGAGTCAGAAAGGGTTGAGGGTTGTGTGGATACACTCAACAGGAGCAAAAAAATAAAGGTGCTGAGTTCTAAGGCTAAGAAGAGAAGAGATGGATTACACTATCACAATTTCTTTACACTGCTTGAATCACTGATGGTAAGGAGAAAACCAGTTAATATTTAGCCAAGTTATTTATCTCAGCTATTATAATTTTTATTACAAATTTTTAAAAGCTCTCCCTCATCCAGTGTTTTATTCTATGCAGTAAATATTGAAGTTCCCCAATGCAACCCCAATATAATGTGTCTAAGAATCCATTTTAAGTATCTAATTTGACTACTTAAGTATCTACTACTTTAAGTATTTAAGTATAAAGTTATAACTATTTATGTATTTAGTTATAAAGTAACTACTTTAAGTATCTAATTTGACTACTTAACAGTCTGGCAAAAGGTAAGAACACAGATTTGCTCTGAATATGCACCTTTCCCTAAACATCTGATTTATTTAAAAAAACAAAAGACCTGTTCTATTTTTAATCAAGTCATGACTACAAACACTATTTAAGTTCAAAAGAAGACTCTTAAACTGATAATCAGAAATACCATTAATTAGAAAATACCACAGTGAAAAAAACTGACAACTGAATTCCTTCCAAGGAAAGTCAGTATGAACTGAAACCGCTTGTGTTTTTCCAAAGGAATCTACAAAACTGAACGAGGGTGTTGAAGCACTGCAAGCTGACACCCAGTCTACCTGGGCGTTTTGAGTCCTGTGTACTCGGCACTCCCACAGTGCAAAGAGCATCCATCTTCAACCATGCCTGGCTCTATGGCAACACAGGATGCTGCTAAGGCACATTTGAAGGAAATGAGACAGCAGCCCAGACTTCTGGGACTATAAAGAGCTTTGTTACTGATTTTAATCAGTTTCTAATAAAAACAGTGTAGAGAGTACAGTGTCTCAGTCTCCCACTGAAACCTCTTAATTTTGTTTTTCTTTAATATTGACTGTTGTATGTGAAGTTACAAAATAGCAAGGGACTGGTCTTCATAACCCAGAAAGGCTTCCTCACATGTTGCTATGAAAGATTTAAGACTCTGCAGAAGAACATGAAGTAGAGGAAAGGAAAAAGAAAAAAGGAAAGAAAACCCTCAACTATAAAGAAGTCTAACAGAGAGAGCTTCCTGCTGAGAGCAAAGAAGGTTATAATAGAAATCTCATGGTACAGTCTTCATCAAAGAAGAAACCTGGCAGCTCTTTATCAAAGTTTCACCACAGCTGGTCAAAATCTGTTGTTAGTCACATCAGTGTAATCCCCAAGTAACTCAATCAAAGAGAGAATGTGAACAATTGAACTTATTCTGGATCTAGCCACTATGTAGTGAAAAGTACAAAAATGATGAGAGCTAAACAGTGACAGTTCATCCAACAGAAAATGAAGTGGTCACACAGCAGGCCCTCACAAGAGGAGGATGCAATGTGAAGAAATAGTTGGAGGAGTTAACACAAATTGAGAGTTTTTCCTTGAGAAGACTTAATTCCTATTCATTACAGAACATGTAGCTAAGAGTTTAACTCTCAGCTATGATAAGATGATTAAAACATGTTTTTCATTAAGCCTATTTTATTGCTTGACCTAAAAATAATTAATTTGAAGATTAATTTCTCTCATTCTTTTTGCATGCAAAAATTTGCATTTACATGACAGTACAGCATATTGCAACTATGTGATATTCCAGGATTCCCTGTGTGTCTATTGTATCCCAACTGGAATTGAAAATATGTTGGTTCAAACCATGACTGTACTATTCAGTGTATTTCCTTCTTCACAATGTTGTAATGGTACAACTTGCATTTTTACAGACTACTGCCATTTACAACAGGGATGCAGCTCTTTTTATGTGAGCACTCTAAGATTAGCTCACGCCGTGACACTGAAATAGCAGTAGGCACAAGTCAGGGAGAAGGTAAGTAAAATCAGTTAATGGTATGAGAGAGGTTTGTGTTTGTTTGGATTTCTTACTGACAGGTGGCAATCCATTCCCATTCACGTGGGATTACACACTATCCATTCTCAGAGTCTACTAGAGCTACCAGCATGCATTGCTCATCACTATTTCTGGCAAGCAATCTCCCCCCATTCAGTGACTCAGCACTGGGAGACAGAAGCTTGTGTTTTGTAGTTCCATATTCAGGAGGTAAAAAAAATCCCACTATTTAAGCCTAAGCCATGCACACAGAGGCTGAGGCCTGTTTAAGTCTCACCTTCGAACCGGCTGTGCAATTTTACTTCTGGGAATGCCGCTCCCATTGACGGCCAGCGATGGTCTAGGAAGAGCACTACGCCCCACGATGCCTTGACCAGCAGTCTTGTTTGGCATGGGGATCCCAGTGCTGGAATACAGCTGCGAGTTGCTGGACACTGGAATACTGCTACTGTTACTACTCCCTTGTACGGTTGGGCTTACATAGGCAGTAGCTTTGAGAGGCTGTCTGACAGACACTGGAAAATGTCCCACACTGTGAACTCGGTGTTGAAGCTGACCTGGCGATGGAACTGTGAAGAGTGATAGAAAACCAATCAACAAGGTCAGTATGCAACAAATAAGAGCAGGTAATGATGCTCATTTCTAGATAGATCTGAATAAGGATAAACACACCATTATACAATTTACTTGCTGATTACAAACTGCTGAAAAACCTCTTGAATCCAATACTGTATCCAGTAACACTGAACTGAACTAAAATATCCTGCTCCACCTCCACCCTGAAAAAAAATCCCAGTCCATATCCATCCTTCTTTCTCCCCTCAAAGAGATTAAATTAGCCATTATAAGCACACTAAATCCACCTTTTTTTAGAGCTTTAAACAGGAGAAACTGCTGAAGGTAAAAATTAGTCACTGTTAGGTGATTTGGATTTCTGTGAGGTGGCATGCAACAACCACATCTTGTTCAAGCAAGACTGCATTAAGCATTATGAAGCATCACAGAAGTTTAAGCTTTATGCAAGAAAACAATAAAAAGGTTATAAAATGTCTTGAATGTAACAGCATATTCCACAGCTGATGTTATGTAAACTATCATTTTAAATCAATGCTATGAGCTCCAGAAGCTTTAGATATAGATTTTTCTACCTAATCCTGCCCTCTGGTGTACATTTGGCAGGCATCACTTTCCAAGTCCACGTACCAAATGCAAACAGCCTAAAGCATATAAATTAAGACACTGTATTTAGAGCAATCCTTCTTCAAGTCTTTGAAATAATTATATCTTTAAACCATTTAAAGACACAGGAAAATCTGCAGGGGAGTGATTCAATTAAACTATATTGTCAATATATTGTTATGGAACTCTTATCACAACATAGTTCCTAAAATACCCCAGCACAGCTACTTACTATGAAAAGTCTTTCAGAAAAATGGAATTTTATACACACACATATATAAGAGCATGAACACACAAAGTAATATGTATTTCTAAAATAATAAACAAAATTAAACTCTCAATGCACAACCATGAAAATCCACGTGGAAGCCTGAACTATTTCCATTCTCATATTCAAGCAGGAAAAAAATACAAAAAAATAACCCATCAGTCCTATTCATTAGAGAACATTTTCCAGAAAATAATATTTTCCAGAAAAGAGGCAATTTAATTGAAGACATTTATGACTTGTGCTCAAATTTGAATGAAAACACCCACAAGAGAAGTTTTTGCCAACTTCTCCCTCTAAAACCTCACAGGAAATGGAGAATGTAAATTAAATCCCTTGTTCCCAAATTATTTATTTTTTCCTCTTTTTCCACAGGCTTCTGCCTGTCTCCAGTAAAATCCACATCTCCCATTTCCACTCAACCACTGTGCTAGAAAAGATGGGTTTGGAACTTGATCTATCTTGCTCAAATTCTACATTAGTAATTCATCTACTACTAGATCAATACTCGCTTCATCCCCCCATCAAGAAGTCACCTAAATTAAACCTATTACAGAGAAATTTTAATTCTCCCACTCAACAGGTATATTATACTTGAGAATATAAGCCTCTGTTTACTGCATTTCCTCAGAAGAAGGTCGCTCAACTTCAGGAGAGAAGTCATGCCTTTTAAGATAGTGTTTATACAGTGTACTGTACAACCAGCATTGTATAAATTACCAAGAAAAGCAGTTTCCAATTATAGTATCAAAACTAAAAATGTGAGCTTACATGAATTAATGGCATTTTTGGTGTTTCTACAATATTACTGTTTATTATTATTATTTCAGTTTTAATGCTGGCACAAGATAAATGGGCAAAGAAAAAAAAAAGTGAAGAAACTTTCAGTAACAAGACTGGCAGAATTTGCTTTCCAAAACAGAAACTTTGAAAATCCTGGGATATATTAAAATCTTGTGCAAAATAACAGTTTTCTTTTAATTTTTCATAGAACAAAGGATCTGTGACCAGAACGTGTATTCTACCACTTTCTCCATCTCTTGTGCTCAGCCGAAGAACACAGGTACTTACTACACGACTGCATCCTTGAAATCCCATTACTGGCTCCATGCAAATTGGAGTCAAAGCTCTGGCTATTCCTCACAGTGACAGGAGAACCAGCAAAACCAGCAGTACTGCTAATGGTGGGGGTGCTTGGCATCCGAGCAAGGTTAGGCATGCTTCTGCGGAGCTTGTCTGCAGCAAAAGAAAACAACATCCACAGTCAGGTCAGAACTTCCAATAAACACAAGCAGCCTCAGTATCAGTCCTGTAGAAAATCAGAATTATAACTAACTATTTCAACAAAAAGAGAGGTTTTGCTCTACCAGAGTAATATGAGTATGTTATTGACAGCCTTCAAATTGAACCATTATGGCTATTGCAACAGCATGATTATTATTCACAAGTAATTTTAAAGACACCACTAGGCAGTACATTTGTGGAACTGCAAGGATTTAAACAATGATGAGTTTCACATAGATGTGCAAAGTAGGTCAGGTGATCCATGCCCTAAATGTGCCTGTTTCTTTGCAGTGAATACAAAAGCAAGTCTGCACTGGCAGTCAGACACAGCTATTTACTCTGTGGATGTTGAAAGACAGGTGAGAAATCAATCCTAAGTGATTGAAGTCTTGCTTTCAGGTGCCAGTAAGATGCTACATAACTCCATTCGGAACCTAATCTTGTTAGCATGTTAAGTTTCTGCAGGCAGCCACATGGAAAAACTGCCAAGTCTAAGTTGCTTGGAGGTCTAGGTTGATATCAGAATTTTCAACTCTAGTGTTTCTCCCTCCTACCTCACTTGTGGTACCTGATTTAGAAAGTGTGGTACCTACACTTTCAGAGTAGGTTTTTTTGTAGGGCTTTTCACAAAAAGAAAGCTGCAAATGCCCCCGATTTGGAGCAGGTACAACAGCTAAGGCAAGCGTCTAAGAGGTCAGAAGATGTCTTCAGTCCCACTCACACCAGTTCATTTAAAGAGAGAAACTGAAACCTTCCTGACATCTCACATCTCAAGGCAGCTTCCCAACCACAACACCACGAGGTAATCTAAAGGAAAACTTTTCCGGTCTCTTCTGCCATCAGGCCAAAGGGAGATGATTCTGTTATGTGCAATCAGAAGGGACGGGGAGAAAGGCACAGACTGAAGAACCTGGTCTTGTGACATGACAAGACTGTAAAGCACTGCTGTGGGATAACAATGGGCATTTATTAAACTGTCATTGACAACATCACCAAAGTTTGCCTCTTGGCCAGGTTCAGAAGTACAAGTGCTGTGCCCTGCTGAGGTGGCTACATCCTCCGTCATAGCATGGCCAGCACAGAGGTCACCAGCTCCTGACACAGGTTCCAAAGGCTGGTTCTTACACTGCAACAGAAAGCAGGGGTGTGCTTGTCTTGTCACACCAGCTAGGACTGCTGTCTTCCACAGAGAGCAGGGCATTTCCAGACCGATGCTTTGGTTTTATGCATAGGAACAACACAGTACACTGCTTGGAACTGCTGGCATGGGTCGACCTCCTGGCTCATACAGGGCAAGTTCAGTTCACAGAAACTGCAGATTTATTTAGAGATCTCTGTTGATCAGTGCACATAAATATACAACCTATTTAGCACCATCATTAGCTCCTCTAATCCTTAAAGCTGCTAACAAGTGAAATATATTAAGACATGACAGTACACTTCTATCTATACAAGTTATTAGGAATCACTGACAGTAACTTCAAAATCTGTGATGCCTACGTAACGCCAGCAACCTGTGTCACAGAAAGGCTGTATCTCCAGCAGGAAAAGGAAACGCAAGGTTTGAATCCCTGGAATCCAGAGTACAGTCAAATCCTAATAAAGAACTACAGTACAGACAATCTTTCACCAAACTAGTCAGATTCGTGCTTCAGTGACTAACTATGGACAGCAGCAGACTGAAACTGTCAATGGTACAGCAGTTAGCAAGGGGATTACCACTGTGGTGCATCCAGATAGTAAGTATTAGTATCAGTGATGTAAAAATGTAAAAACAGTTATCAGGCTTCCAAAACTGTCCAGGGGATGCAAACAATAGCACCCATTCAGCTACTGTATGTATCTATTTCTAAAGTATTCAAGAATTCTGCAAACTGAAGAGGGAACTGTCACCCTATGAAGCAATCCTTGGGCAAGAGTAGCAAAAAAATCATGAATATGGGATGTCTGTAGGTCCAGTTAATTCTGGAGTCTTAGCCTACCCTTCCATAATACTAGTTCCTGAAATCCTAATTCAACATTAGAGAGCTTGGGAAGAAAGGGTTTGAGCAGCAGGATGGCAGTAGGGAAGATGGCATTGCATAAAATAGCTTTTTAAGTATCATGTTGTATAGCAGGATTCTTTGGACTCTACTTGCTCTTCCACTTAGAGACTGTATCAGCCACCCCAGGCACTATTACTGCCTTGAACTGTCCAGTGGATGCAGCTACAACAGCAGAAAAATAGGGACAGAAGTAGCTTGGATTTCCTCCATGTCTTGGGTGGCCACGTCTTTTGCCTCCTGTTTATTAATCAATCACTCCTTCTTGTTCCAGCAGTTTGCTCTGCTGCTGATTCATTCAGTCCTCAGGGAGCAGATTCCTGCTGCACCTGCAAATTCTCATCCATCAAGCAGCAGCGTTACTTCTTTGATGGGTCCTTGTGTCTGCTGAGATAAATGGCCCTGAAAAGCAATGAAAATAGCAGGTCAGTTTTGTGTTTGGAGAAAACCCAGAAATGTTCGCCTTGATGGCATTTTGCAGCTTTCATCTCCTTGGATGACGCATCCTCTTTCATCTCCGTCTTGAAGTTTGTTCTGTCACCTGCTTCCCTCCTAAAATCAGTGGAAACAGCCTTACAGACTTTTTGTTTGTAAATGAAACTATGGTTCTTGTGAGCTTAATATGTGGAAGCAGAAGGTGGGTATTACATGATTTTAGTATTATTTCAGGCCACTGAAATATGAATAGACATGAACTTGCTTAAACTATATGAGAAGAAAACAAAAATATTTTCCAAGCTGCTTTCCTTTTCAGACCTCTTTGCTGTCCTAAGACTGATGAGAAAATTAACAAAGAGGAGAAGAAGTAGAGATGTATTCTCAGTTGAGAATTAATTTGTTTAAACAGTCCTGTTTGTGATGAACACTGAAATTTGCTACAGTTTCTGCTACCTCTTCTGCACTAATCTGGTTCAGTGACAAACCTAAAATATAATCAGTTGCTTGCAGCTGGTTTTCTTAGGAAGAAGATGTGGATAGTAACATCAGTAAGGGACTTCAAAGGACCTACACCTATTCAACAAATGACTGGACATGGCACTTGGTGCCATGGTCTAGCTGGCAAGGTGGTCGTCAGTCAACAGCTGGAGTTGATGATCTCCAACAGCATCCATAGTTACTACTGTGACCCACTACTGAGTCTCAGCTAAAACTTAGGTTGAAAAAATCATGGTGTTTAAGTAGAATGCAGCAAGACAAAGCATCACAGGTGCATCTTCGCCTTTCCCAGCCTTCTTTGAGATGAAATATTATGACCTACAGACATTGTATTGTTGAGGCATTTGTACATGTGAAGAAAATTCAAGGATAGGTCATGCACGGGGAGTTAATAACTGGTTCCTGGTTCTTACCACCTTCTAAAAATAATTCATGCATATACACACGTGCTTGTCATTTCATGAGTTTTCTTTAGGCAGCATACATTTTCCTTTCACAGACTGCCTACTGCATGTTTACACTTTTCCTCATATGTGGCATCCATGCTGAATTAGCCCATTGCCTCTACAGCACAAGAAAAGCTGGGAATTATGAAATACAGATCCTATGCCCTCAATTGCAAATGTTCATGAAAAGGCCACCCTACAGCACAGATTGTATTCAGTACTACCAGAAACGGGTCAAAAAGCAGGAAAAAGTGCCCCATCTTTGTCAAACATTCCACAAAATTACAATGAAGACAACATTTCGCCTCTCACCCAGCTGCCTCAGTTCTGATTTTTTGCCAGGAAGTTCTTCCCTGATGCTATTTCTTCTCTGAAGTCAGCTTGGGATGAGTGGCCCAGCTTCTTTCTGGCAGGACACCAGAACAGGCAGCATCTGCTTTCTGTCTTCTGACCCTCGCACCACTGGTGGCTGTCCCTGTTCCACTGCTGCTTTTCTTTTTCCTTCCTTGACCTAATACTATCACTGGCTGAAGATTAATTCCATGGAGCACACAAACAGACCTTGTCCTCCGAGCAAAGCTGCTCCAGAAGAGGTGCGTCTTGGTGGGCTGCCAGGTGGGGACTTCTGTAGCAGTTCTTGGTCAGTATCATCTTCCATCTGCCAAAATGCCTCATCCAATGAGGTTCTCCTTGCAAGAACGACTTAAGTTGACTGTACAGTGAAGTCTCTTAAAATCCATTTATTCCTTCACAGTTATCCTCTGCAAGTGTTGTCAATTGAACGAAAGGACTCCCAAAACCTCACCAAAACCACAGAAATGTAATACAATGGATCAGAATTATTGGTGTCTCAGAGAAATTTGTATCACTGTTTGAGCTACCTTAGCAGTTTCTCACACATATTTAAATATTTCACGCAAATCCTGCCTTATCTGTATTGTATGCACAGATAGGTCGGGGTAAAATCATAAGGAAAGAACCTGTGCTTCTCAATTTTAGATATTATGTTCTATATTATATAGACATTCAGAGTGTGTTCTGAAATCCTTAACAAACTTGTAGACTCTGTAACAACTTCTCTTGTAGACTCTATTACAACTTCACTTTTTGGGATTCATTTCTCTTTCTCACCTCTGAAGACTTGAGAACAGTATCTACATTATATTTGTCATCAGAGCTATTTGTATCATCTCAAATACACCAGGGTCTTTTTAATGGTCTGTGGAATCATCAGCTGATACAACAGAGACATCAGTGTGTAAAAGCACAAATACAGATTAAAGAAAGTCCTTCAGATAAGTGAGTAATGTCATTCTCAATAATGTCAATACCTCCATTTTATTCAGAATTATTACTTCATCTCATCCTGCTTTCACATGCATATGTCTCCTGCCACAGACAGGGCCAATTAAAGATTTTTCTATTAGCCTTCCATGAGTTCTCCCACTGATCACTGTCCTCAATATAATCCAAAGGTAGCAAAGTAATATTGTTTTACTCCTTTTCTGTAATATGGTCTGCAACAATTTCCTAGAAAGAATTTTTCCTTTCTTATCAAGCAAGAGAGGCTATGAGCAGAGAACACTTCATACATCTATGCTGAACCCATATCTAAACACAATGCACTGCTGCTCTTCTATGTCTGCCTGGTGTTTGCTTAAAAAGCCCAAACAACAAATAGAAACCAAGACTGAAGCTTTCAAAATGAGGCAACTGCCAACAATGTCCATAATATTTTTGAAGTGTAAGCAAGAAAGTTACTCATAACTAGTAATTTCTAGAAAGTAAAAGCCAAGTTTTTCAAGTAAATGGTATCTGTGGCTTCTTTATGAAGGTATATGCCAAGCCAAAAACTTAAAAAGCAACATGAAAAGGTAATAGAAAATACACATTAAGATTAACCAGATTGAATGCTTTGCTACTCCATGAACCATGTATTTTTCATCCACTCCTTCTTACTGTATCATAATAAACTCCTTCTTTACCTGGAATAATTTGTCCAAAATACGAAGTTTCCAATTTTCATATGTTATAAAAATGGACACTTTAAAATGCACATAAAGTAAGTGGTGCCAGGATAAAAGGTTGTGAGTAAGCTGATCTCAAGAGATGGAAAGTAGGTCTGATTGAAGAAAATCAATCCCATTTTCAGTAGCTTGTCTATCCTGGAGTTTGATTACTCTGGATGATTTCACAGCATTATAGTTAACCGTTACTTCTAGTTTCAGAAAATCACAAGTATAAAGGGCAAAAATACTATCAGCTAATTAATAAAATTACTAAACAGAAATAAAATATATTTTTAAAAAGTTGAAGTGAAAGTAATTACTTTTGCATCAAAGTAACAAAAAGAATGTATATTTATGGACAACATAAAGCAGAAAGCAGCTTGATTTTATGACTTTTGGTGGTATTTCTTCTATGAAAATTATTATATATAAAGTATTCTTGATACTAATAGTTAGCAGAGTTTTAAGTTGCTAACCAGTTCTTCAAATTAGACTACTGGGAGAGAGACATAGGCATAAATCTTTCCTGCAACATATTAAAAGCAAATATATTAAAAGCTTTATTGAAGTATAAAACACACACTAACTAGACATACTCACTTCAGCTACTTGAAACAGATACTTAAAACCTGCTCACATCCTGTCTCTCTCAGATTTTCTTTAAATTATTTATTTTCTGACCCACCAACCAATTACAAAATCTCCATAAATCAGAATACCTTAAAAAGTTTACAAATTGAATTTTTCTGACGTAACTCATCAAAGAAAATTCAGCTGATTTAGGAAGAGGGTGTAATTAAACAAGGAAAACAAAACCAGACAGATTTCACACACAGCTTACCTATTACTATTCTTGCCAGAACTGGCAATAAAATCTATTCAAAAGCTAAGATAACATATACACTCTACAGACAGCGGCTGTGAAAATGCTGGTTAAAAGGTAACAAGTACACCTATAGCTCATGCTACAAGTGGCCCCACATACACCCTAAACACATTGCAACAAATTTCACATTTAAATATATTGAGATTGGCACAGACCTGCCACTTTATGCTAATGTTTACCAAGAGCCTTCCAGTACAGCAAGCTACTGGGGACTGGCAGTAAATGTGACTGACACCATTCATTCAGACATGCCGGGAATAAGGCGAGATAAAGAACCTGGACCTGGGAGTGGGGGTAACATGGTGTGGTATGGTCCAGAAGTATGTAATTTTATCTTCAAATATACGTACAGCAATCCAAAACAGGGCAGAGTGTCAATATTACAGCAGGGGCAGCACTTTGCTACAGCACATTGGCAAAAACAATGTATGAGCTCTCAAGTGTAACTTCAGACATAGCTGGAAAACATCTGAGAGTCTATTCTCACCCCCAGAAAAGGCAGACGATCACTAGAGCACCAGAAACTGCAAACATTTATCTGCCACCTAAAATGCAACCCCATGGATGGAGAACAAGCAGACCTTTGGCTGTAGTGAGAGACCAGACACCTGGTGCACATGTCAGTGCCTATGTGAAGGTATCCCATGGCATCCCACAGATCCCAGGTTGTTTATGGAAGCTAAACAGCATTGACACAGGGTCATGGTGAAGCCAGGGTGCATCAAAGTACCTCATATATAGCTCTATCCCCACAGCTGAATTAGGCCTTTCACACAGGTGGGCACCCACATCTCAGCACTTAAATGTAGATGCTTCTCATCAGGCAAACAATACTATACTCCTAAAAGAGTTAATAGAGTTTTCCAGGTTTATCACATCTTCACCATATTTTTCATATGCAGGTAATTAAGTACTTCACATAGAGGACCATACCAAATAAAGATCACTGAAAGCATGTAGGGCAGCATCCCTCAAACTATTTGCCTAAAGGCAAAAAAATTGTAATTAAGCTAAATATGTAGACTAGTGGAAATACTGTGTCAAAGCTAAATACTGGGGCTTTTACCCCAGACTGAGTGTCAAAATTCAATAGTTACTTGCTCCTTGTTCTTTTATTAAAAGCTCTGTGAATGCCCAGGTGAAGCAGAGTCCAGACCCTTGACTGCACATACAAGAACGAAAGGGATCTCTTTGGGAGAAGACAAAGGAATAAAGATTTAGGAAGACTGCTAGAATGGCCAAGAGCAGTACAGCATGTGGTATGTGTGACTTAATTATTAATTATAGATCATGCTTTCCACATATACTGAAGGCCGAAACTAAAGGTTCCATTTTTCCATCTTCCACACCCTTCTTTCTCAATTGCCCTTGTAAACTAACAGTGTGGAACACACCATCCATCACAGAGAGCTTCAAATTCTTGTTTTGCAGTCTACCTCCATTTCAACATGCAGGAATTCTTGAGAGACAACAAAATTGTTGCCAAGATGGTTAAGTGCTGATGAGAAGATGTAATACTACACAGACATCCTCAGTACAGCGAACACTTAACTCCTTATCTCCTTGTCTGCCAAAAGAACACAAGCAAAGCAAAATGTTTCTCACCATCAGTATTTGCCACTTACATGGATCAGAGTTGCATGTGTGAGAGGCTGAAGGTGTAGAGGCTGAGGAGATCACTCCCTCCTAAAGACAGTGGTACTGACTATTACAGCACTGTTTGTCATTCATGCAAACAGGTAACTGAAGTCCCAGCTTCTGGGTTATGACAAACACATTATCCAACACCTCCAAGTTCTTGAGAAAAAAGTCAACCAGGTGATAAAACTGGTGGTCTTTTACATTTATACACTTCATAGTTAATAAACTAGGAGTCTAATGTTTTTAGTGCCTTAAAGGTTTCCATGTCTTTCCATGCAGGAAATACAATGCTTAAGTTCCACTGACATGGAACATTAAAAAAAAATCATTTAAAACACATTTGGGAGCCACATAATAACATGGCAGCAACAAATCATTCTCTTACTCCTGAACAAAAATGCCTCAAAGCCTTCCTTTCTAACTCTCAACATTTCTGCAAACCCAGCAATGTTGTCCCACTCTTGTACCTCCCTGACAAGAAAAGTAACATTAAAATTAATATGGCACAAATACTGTACTAACAGACACCCACGCTGCTCTACCCTCTGTTAACATCACCTCAGCTTCTACACTGCCACTTGTCAGTTATACTTCCATGCCATAGCTTACTTTGAATAGAAGTTGTTTGGGCACCAACCTGTCATGTCTTGTTTGTCAGAAAAGCTACATGCATACCTGTAGCACCATAAATAGCAACTATATGTTGTTTTAAACAACACATTTATTTTCTTGCCCAAGGGTGAGCTGTAACCTGTAATGTTACAAACAAGACCCTGGCTGGAAATGGACTATTTAGAATTAACTTGGGGGAAAAGATTGAAGGTATAGGAAAGTAAAATGCCACAGAAAGAAAAATTGTGATTATAATAAGGAAAGAAAAGAACTTAACAGCAACAATGGAGGGAAACATAAATCATTAATATGCACTGAGATACAAATCTTCCATATTCTGGAATGTATCTCAAATGCAGTGCGAAAAAGCAGCAATATCTCAGGATAGCTTGGGAGGGACATTATCTCCAACTAGTTTAACAATCAGCCCTATCAGACCTGGAACAGAAGCAAAGTGCCATATGCACTCATCACAGCACAGTTGCATTAACAGCAAACTCGGGAATAAGAAAAGAAATTAAAATCTGAAAACCTGGATTGTATTTTACTGTATCCACAATGGACATGAGTACATCAAGTTTGAAAGCCCCAGAGGTTCTTCTAGCCAACTATTAGCCGGCTAAAACATGCTCTTCTTTACTTTCTGCTTCTTTCTCCACTTGTGGTCATCTTTGCAGCATTTTAAAACAGACTAAGCAACAACTTTCATGACCAGGTCACAGATTACATTTTGCAGAAAACTGCTTAACAATAACATCTCTTCATCATTTACACAGGCTTAAATTATTTGCCACAATTTCTCTTTACAAAATTTATCTATACAAAATTTATCTTTTATTATTTGTACAATTCATCTTTAAAATGGCACTGGCACTTGGCAGAGAAAAGACCACTTCTCAGAAAAGCATGCAACCCACCTCCATTAATCCTATTTGGTTGCTGCTCTGGAGTTTGGGCTTGAGGAGAGTAGAAGGGCTGCTGATAAGTATTTGTAGGGAATTGTGGGGAAGTAGGGCTCCTCCTGCAGTCCCGGATACTGGAGAAAGTCTGTGAGTGAGGAATCCCTCTTTGGAAGGGGGAGCAGCGAGTCAGACGTGGCTGTGGAGGTGGGAGGTGGTCAAACTCTTCCTCATCCTCAAGACTATAGCGATCATATTCCTGGTCACTGCATGTCCCTTTTTTTCCCGTATGCAGAGAAACACTGGAAGTGTGCCTTGACACAGATGCTGAAGTTGAAGCATAATCTTGCCTAAGGCCTGTAAATTCCAAGAGGAGGACGATTCAGCTTCTGCTAAGTGATTAACTCTAAATATGCACTTCAATCTTGAAAACTACACAGGTAAATAGATGGAATTTTACATTGAAAATTGAATTTAAAATGTAATCAAGCTGAGGATCTGATGTGGGATTCATCTGATCTATCCTTCAGGCATCTATGCCTGAATTCTCTCCTTCAAAATCTTTTTTTCAATAAAATCCTAAAAAAGAACACAGGCATCTCCAAAAATGTCTTAGATCCTTTCTTAAGAGGAACCACTCTCAGGAGGCACCTATTTCTCTGCCAGTAAGGACAACATGAGTACTAAGTCCTGAACTTCTTAATTAGAGGAATTACACACACATTAGATTTTCAATTGCTTTTGAACTTTTGTATTTGTGCAAATAAAAATGTTCACAATGACAATTAGTTCCTGATAGCATCCATTCTCATGGACAAGGCTTAGTGGTAACACAACTGTATTTTACACAGGTACACAATCCTACCACCCTCTTCTCAGAATGCCAGGTTTTGAAAACCATCTTACAATAAGCACTACCCTGTAAGAGCCTGTTTCTCCAGGTCAAGTGAGAGGGAAACATTCACATCCCTTGCACATCCCTCCTTTCTCCAGATGCACAGCAAACAAGGAAAAAACACTGCACTTCCAGGAGCCAAGTAACTCTGACAGTAGCTGCAGATAACAACCTTCCTAGACTTACAAGAAGCCCTAATTTTTAACAGATGTCTTTGCTTCATAATGGAAACTTCTTAATATGCTTCCTCTCCCTCTCCTCAAGTGGGAGTTTCTATTTGTGGCTGTGAAGAGAGCGTGCCTGTGTGCACATACAGAATTGCCACTTTCCACAGGATTAAGTGGTCAACAACTGTCATGTACTCAAACATTCTCCACCAGCTGCTGCTACAAGAATGAGATACAATCAATTGCACATGACACAGATTTGAAGAGAAACCAGCATTTTTATTTCCAGTCTGCCAGTGCCCTGATTCTTTAAACAGCTAAGTACCTGGTATTTTTGAAACCTCACGATGAGCACAGCTATCATTTAAACAATGCAATCCTTTGTATCCTTGACTGTCGTAACTTTTTTTGTTTTTAAAATTAGAACACTTGTTAATTTCTTGCTGAACATGATGTGTGCCACCAGATACTCAGCAAGCTCTCCTGCTGGCAGGTGATCACTCTGCCTGCCCAGTCTGGTGGCTTCGGCCAGATCATGGCTCTAATTTTTTCTGCGCATTTAGTATTTTGTTTTATATAATCACTTATTATTCTGCATTTTCATTCAGGCCCTCCCTGTTAATTTCTCTTGCTTTTAATCTCATCATTTCCTCCTTGATGTCTCACTTGGCACTAACAGGATACAGGAGAAATACTCCACTTATTGTCTCAGCAACCTCTAAGTCAAATGCCCTTTATTTATTAATAAAGACATTTTACAAAAATTACTAATAAGCCAAACTATAATCTATGTCAAAGAAGTCTCTAGGCTCAGATTTGTGCCTAATTACTAGTCTTAAACCAAGATACTGAATTTAAAAGCCCAAATTCCATATTTAAGCAGGATTTCACTTCAAAACTCCCCTGAAAACATAAGAAAATTGAAGTGGAGGCAAAGAAAGCCAAGAGAGCTGCTTATTTTTACCTTTTTCATTAAATGCATGCACGAGTAAAATACTTTAACATCATCCCTCTCCAGAATAAAATAATTTCAATTAATATTCATAAAAATATAAACATCAAATTTTGTAAAACCCAGTACCAGTTCAGATTAACATGTACCCAACAATAGGCACACCTTCTCCATGCAGGTGAGCAGTACTTCCACCTGCCACTCAAGAGGCAATACCACTTAAAAAAGATTTACTTCACTGAGACCAGACAGAAGTTTTAACTGTTATGGGAAGTCTTCTTCAGACTGTTAGGAAAACCAAAAAAGTGCCACCTACTCTCCTCCTGTAGACGAGCCATGATCTGAACATCAGTGAGGTCCTGCAGCTTGTATCCCATAGAGATGGAATCATCTTCCAGCTCCGACGTGCTCAGTTCGCTGTCTATCGATGACTGTGGACTCAAAGGTGAACTCCTGGAAATGTACCCTAAGTAAGAAAACATACACTTTAGGCTACAAGTATGTCCGGCCACCTTCATTCAGAATCATCTGCTCTTTACATTAAAGTAGCTTAAAACATTTTCTGAATAGCATATAAAAACTTTCAGAAGTGTAGTTCAACTCACTAACAATTAGCAAAGGGCTTTGATATTCATGAGAAGAAGTAAATGTAGGAATGGATCATGAATTCCTCAGCTTGTTCCCAAAACAGCATTGCATAGCCCAGTCAATGAATAATTTACCCAATACTGTTCTGATACAGCTCAGATTAGTGTAGTCTAACCAGCATCTGTATTTGCAACTCTCTTATGGGACTGTGGTTCTCCCTACTCAGTTTTGAAAAACAAGTGGATATGTGTCTCTGACTTCTGCTCAGTACTCAAACGTTGCATTGCTGCTATTTAGCTAAATTTTACTATTCTTTTTTTAAACTATCTATAGTTATCATATAAATCAATCACAGTAACAATTAAGGTTGAACATCATGCAACAGAGAAAACATTGCTTTCTTCACAGAGCTACCTTTTTGAAAGGCTCTGGATTCTACCTTTTCCCTGAGTGTGACAGTAAAATATAAACTAATTTGCAATTAGTTGCATAAGCTAGTTGTTGTCCAACCTTAAAGAAAAATTCCATAAACTAAAACCGTCAATAATTTTCTAATGTCCTCTGGACCACCAGAGACCCACAGCCTGCAGGGCAAGAACTGCTGTGACTGGCTCGCCAGCTGTGCTTGTAGTACAGGTGTGTTTACATCCTCTAGCACTGCTGAAAGCAGCCACTTAAAATTCATCCTAAGTTCAGCTATTTTCTAATAATATCTCCAAAACAAAACGACAGGAAGTAGATTACTTTGCTTTGAAGGACTGTATGGAGTATATGTGCTTGCTTTCTTAAATGTGCAAGTTACAGCAATCTCTGAGATTGCTGAGATGTTCTGCAGAGGTAGTAATAGCTGTGCTCTTTTGGAGCAATAGAGGAAAGCTAGACAAGGTACCTGAGGGTATCTCAAATAGCATGAGTTCATTTAGGAACTAGGCTTTATCCCCTTGAATAGGAAAGATGTTTCACTCACATGCAGACAGGTACAGCAGGTGCTCCGTCTGGAGCTGTTCCCACCCACAGTGCCCATATCCCTTAAAATAGGGATTTCTGCAGTGATTTCAAGCATTGTAAGGAACACTGCACATGGATGGGTATGACACTGATCATCAACCCATCCTCAGCCCATTCTTGGTCCTGCCAGCAATAAAATGTTAATGACTCTCCCCAGAAGATTTTTTTCTCCACTGCCACTGCAGTTTAAGAGGAAGTCACACATACAAACTGACTCCTGATATCTGTAGTGAAGAAGGAAAATGAAAATCCTTGCAATTTACAGAAAGTTTTCTATTTTCCTAGAACTTGTGTGTTCCCTGAAAAATAGTGGAAAACATAAAATAAAACTTGAATAGTAGCAACAATACCAACTTGAAAACAGGTATAATTCTGCCAGCTCTTAAATTCTCACTGCCAATTTCATTACACAGCTGTATATATGTTTCTGTGAACATAAGGAAGGGGCACCATGGGGCAGAAATGAGCCACAAAGCTGGGGATGTTTAAGCTGACACAGTCACAACTGTACTACTGGGTAAATCATTAGTGGTATTTATTAGCATCACTCTCCTGTAACATGCTGCATAACACTTGTAGTTAACAGCCAAATTTTAGGCCATTAAAGAAAAAAACCCCAAAACTACAACTTCCCCTGAGATATGAGTTCATATACGATCATCCAAAAAGAGTACTGCTGTTAAAGGCTAGCAGGATTAGATTAAATCAAGCACTTTTGTAAGCACTGTAAATCAATAAAAAGATAAGCATTACCTGTCCGTTCAGGTGTTAGTATTGCTTTACTGGAAGTTTTAGAGAAGCTGGGACTATTACAGCCATTGGTATATGGGGTGAGTCTTGCAACAGGACTATAGGGAAAAGCCAAGGAGACAGGTGTAGAGAAGAGGTTCCGCCATCGGCTAGCTGTTACAGATGCAAGGGAGGAGGGGGAGAAAACAAGATTTACAGTTATTAATAGAACAGTACTGACACAGAGAAAAATAATCTCATCTTAATCTGTTCATCATGTATTCTTTTTTACTTATTACAGGAGGAAAAAAAATGGTGAAAATTCAGCAGCGAATCAGAGGATCAGTGCAGTCTTCTGCATGTAAAAGTGAGCTCTAAAAGGTTTTTTAGTAAATATATCTCTTGACTACATTTTACATATACAAGTTTTTGGTATATATTCATCACATACATCACTGGGTAACTAACACACAAATAACAGAGGAAGTAAAAACTGCTACAGTTAGCAGAGAAACAAAAATGAAATTTATAGTGCTCTTCAAGGAATTGTTCATGACAATTAATCATCACACAATTGAATTAGCAGCTAAATTATCAGTTATGGGAGTTCAGAGAGAGAGCAGTAAAAGATGCTTAACCATCAAGTGCTAAAAACAACTGTAATCCCATATCAAGCTTTTAAGCTACCATATTTTCCCTTCTCTTTTTAAACCACCAAATTCCTGATTGCATAAGCATGATTTTTTTTTTTTCACTGTTTCTGGAATAACAGAACAAGGCATCCCTTTTTCTATACATTGTTTACAAAAAGCTTGCAAGGCACCTGGTCTTCTAAGCAATATCACAATATATCTTCTAAGTAATATCACAAAGCACTCAGAGTTGGCAAAAATAAAGCTAAAGGCTTATTTCATTTATATTTATTTAATTTACATTTCCTTACTCAGTAAAAGTATTAATACAACTGTCCTTTGTTTTGCCTATTTTACATACCTTGAAAAAGTAAAATAAAGAACATTCACATGCTCTTCCAAAAATAAATAAATATTAGTAATAAAATTGTTCTAAGAAAAAGGAAAATTTTAAAATATATAAATTTCAGAGAACTCATACAAATACAAGGAAAGATCAAAAACATATGACGGGATTGCATCTTGTTTAATAGAATCTATTTTCTACTCACAGATGTTACTCATCTCTACTCATAGAGGGGGAGCCATGAAAATACTTACACCTAGCCTTGAAATCAACGGCATAACCTCAATGCTCAGCAGGTGTTCTGTGCAGTGGCAGATGCTACAAAGTGATCTTCAAAACCTGAAGGGTCCAAAAGCCATTCTCCATCGCACAGCTACTTAATACCACAATACCACAATCTGCTCTGTTATTTGGACTTGTTCATCCGGTCATTTTACACACTAACAGCCATTCAAATAATACTCAAGTTTCCTGTTTTGAAACCTCCCTACCAACAAAATTATTTAGCAGGACATACTGACTTTATTCCTCTTTCTTGCTAACATCAAGTAGCCATGGGAAGGATGTCTTGGCAAGCTGTCAATCTCAGCCTCACAACTCTCGGAATAATCAGTTTGTCACCAATCCAAACAGTGCTATTTCTCCTCCTATTCCTTTTGCTTTGACCTACTTAAATGTATCCCTGGTTTTTAATGTGTAAAAGCCTCTTCAACTCTTCCCACAAGTGCTACTAAGCTTGGAATGAAGACAACTGCTTGGTTCCAGCACAGGCACGAAGCAGTCTGCTGGGGACAGGGATTACCTGCAGGGCTCAGGCTCTGAGAAAGGTAGCTTAGTACTCGTAAGTAACATAAAAATTCAAACTCTGTTCTTTGCTGTCCCCTCACCGAAGAATTATTTCAACTCCCTCATTTTTAGTGATTCTGGTTCCTTCAAGCTCAAAGAAACCCAAAGTTCTGAGATCTTTAAAGGCAGAATCAGCACCAGTTTCAGGAAATTGCTCCATGCCAACTAAGGCACACAACACAGACTTCCCAGCTGGACTGTTTGTCAACATTCACTAACGTGGTCAGTTCTGAAGTGAAGCATTCCAGTGTCTCAGGACAAAAAAGAGAGAAAACACAGTTGAACATAACTCTACAAACTAGCAATTAACATGAGTCCCTGGGGATGAGATTAATTCACTAGGTGTTAGTAACAGCAAACTGATCTGAGGCATTCAGTGAAAGAAATCTGTACAGTCAGAGCAGACCTCAGTATCACATCCACAGTTAATGTCTGTCATTTCTACCAGGAACCATCAATAAGAGCAAGGGATTTCAGTTGCCTGAGATTTCATCTTCCTGCCTAGGACAAGCTACTGCTTTGTAGCAGCCCGATCATCTCCAGCATGTCCTCACCCCCAGATGCGGTTGGGCACACAGCATAAATAAACATCATTCATTACCCTCTACAATAGCCACTGTGAGCTGGCCCACTGAGCACAAGGCAACAGTTATCGTGACTCTGAAAGCAAGAACCCACACCAAGAATTTAATTAGTATTTATGGCCAACCAGATTTCAAACTCCTCTTTCAAACAGCATGTATTCTCAGAGAAAGATGGATGGATGGATGGATGAGACCAAGAAGCTCTATATACACTAACCTCTATATATATTCCCAGTTCTACAAAATTCTGCCACTGTGCCTAAAATAAAACTTTCTCATTTAAAACATCAGGAAATGATGGATACTCTTTAGGCATATAAGTAAACCCATTGTTCAGAATCCAATATAAAGAACAGCTTTCATTAGGTTTCAAATGGAAATATCAACATACATATTGAGTGCTTTACTGTACTAACAAAGAGAGCAAAATTAGACTGAAGTCTTGTGCTAATGACAAAACCATAAAAAGTTTTGTAGGAAGTGAGTGCTATAGACATGAAAGCAAATACATAAATTCATATAAAATTTGTAAAATCCCAACATTGTGCAAGATACTCATTTTCAAACACGTATTTTGCTCCAAACTGCATGTGAGACTGTCCCAGTTAGCATGATAAGCACCACCCTGCTATACATGGATGAGACAATGTTGTTAAGACCTTTATATTAAGTTTAAAATCCCAGCTGTTCAGCTCTGAATTTTACAGTATTTGTGGTTTCTTCTTAAAGCCCCAATGCCAGTTACCTGCAGATGAAGTAAGATGATCAGGTACCCTTTAAAAACAAAGTAAGTTTCTATGCTTTGCAGTTGAATAGAAACATAGATAATTCTACTCTGAGTAACTTCTACTGAAGATGCACTGAAGGAAGGAAGAGATTCAGCCATGAAAAGGAAAGCAGGGGCATCTAAAACAAAAACCAAGAGAAAGAAACCAAAAATCAATTTCATTTGCTGACATTAAAATATGTAAACGCATTAAATTTCACTTCTTGAAGCATTAAAGTGGTTGAATTAATATTGTAATAAAATAAGCATAAGTTGCCCCAGTCATCTTAAGTCTACAGTTATCAGAAGTGTCCAGTTTTTTTGTGTATTATTTCCTTGGTTTTGATAAAGAATTCAAAAGACTAGCAAGGAAAGGGAATATCAAGGTGTAAGCCAATTCCTACAAATTCCAAAAAAGGATACTACATTTTAGCTATGCACTTTGGAGGGTAGGATTGTGAGTTTTTTTTAAATTGGCTCTTTTTTTAAGGAAAACCTTTTACTGTACAGCTATGTAGACAGACAAGCACAGGGGTTTTGTGAAAAATGCAACTGTCTCAGCATTCATCTTCCTCCTGGGTGCACAACTCTGCCTTCATTCACACATCCAAAAGCAAATTTTCTGGTTAGAGCTAACAGCCAAATTTGGCTTCCCAGCTTCTCTCCTTTGAGAACTTGGCCAAATACTATGCTCAGATGTTAAGCCTTAGGCATGACCTAGGGCCCAAACCTCTTTCCTCCCCAGCTCCCAGTTTTTACACAAAAAAGTCAGTCTGATGCATTTTCATTCTATTTGGTGGATTGACCAGAATCCATGAGCATACATAAGCAGTTCACGATTCAGCTAGTTTGAAGTAAGACAGACTAAGCAGAAGACTCATTCTTGTGTACCACTACATCGGGTAACCTGGAACAAAATATATATCCACAGATTCTTCTACCAAACCATTGATATCACATTCATTAAGAAGAGTGTTTACCCCACTTAATTTTAGAAGCCTTCAAGTAAGGCCTTAAGATCCTCCATAAACACGATTTTCGTAAGGATTCTTACCAAAGGGCACTATGAATGAAAAAATTAACACGGGAAGAATACACAAACTCACCAAAGAAGAATCCACCAAAGGTTAATAAATCACATCTAATTTAGAGCTCACATCTGGTTCTGTCGGTCACTGAACTGGCTACACAGCTAGGATGGTGTCAGGGCAGGCATATATACTACTTCCCCATATTCTCTCTCTTCCAGTATCTATTTATGGTGCTTTAGGATGCTGGATCCTATGTCCCAGACACAATTAAAATGCTCTTATGTACATCGATGGCTGACCTAGTCACCTCAGGACACTATTTATTTTCAAAAGGAAGGACAGGGCATGGTTCATCTCACCTCTGCTTGCAAAGGACATGAGCTGTATCCCTTTGTCTGCTCTGCCTACAATGGCAGCCCAGCGTGACTGGCTCCAATACTGAGTCCCATGCATTAAAATGAAACTCTCTGACTGTATTCATTATAGAGAACAATAAACAAAGCTTAAAAACAGAGTTCAAAGACTGCCTTCAGTCTTCACTTTTTCTAAGCAACTGAAAAAGACAACTCTCGCAGCACTAGAGCACAGCAATGCTTGCGTACCTCCTCCTCCTGAAACCAGCTTCAATTCAACTGAAGTCACTGAACTTTCTCAGCAGCAGCTCCAGTTGGAAGCAAACCTCTGTGTTAATTTTTTTAAAGAAGGAAGAGTTTCTCAATCCCCTTTACCAGGAAGATGAAGCTCACTTATATCACATTTAAGGGAGAGATGGAGAAGTAGAGAACAGCGGCAGGAAGGTGGGACAGCTGAAGTAACACCATCTCCAAAAGAAACACATCAGAGAATAGCCTCTGAGATGTGTGTAAGGGCAGGTGAGATGAACTCCATGTCTGACACCAGTCATTTACACACCCACACAGCGCAGAGTAAAGCAAGAGCATTTTCATCACATTTTAACAGTTAACAACA